CGCCTTCCCCCCCCTTTGCACGCCGCCAGAGAAGGCCAGGCCGGCGCAGCGGCTGCTGTATGCAAGCGCCCATGGTTATTGACCGGATGCCCTATCCACTCGCGCTCTCGCAGATTCGACGCCATCGCGTTGCATTCCAGCCGCCTGCAGCAGGATAGGAAGACATCGAGCACTTCGAGAGCGCTCCCCTATGAGCGCGGAAGGCTCGAAAGCTGCTTCATGCGCTGGCATCCCAACTGATGGGACAGGGACTCCACCGCGCTATGACCAGCCAAGGAGAAGGAGAACCAGAGAAGAAACTGATCCTGGCGAAAGACCCAACCATATGCAATTGCGACCACCGTGTTGTGGCACCGCTTTAGGTGGAGCTCCCTATGGTGCCACGAACCGTGTGAGGATTGCGCCAAAATTGGGCGGCACCGCCATTACTCTGGTGGAGCTCCCGATGGGGCTACGAACCGTGCGAAGGGTGCGCCGAAATGGGGCGGCGCCGTCATGTGGACCCTGCCACTGCCACTGGGGCCTTCGGCTGAGATCCCGATGGGGCCACGATCCGCGTGAGCGGGGCGCCCATGTGGAACGGCGCCGCCGCGTGGACCCTGCCGCTGGGTGCGCCCGAAGTGGGGCGGCGCCGCCACGTGCACCCTGCCACTGGGGCCCATTCGGTGGAGCCTCCCGCCGGGGCCACGCTCCGCGTGAAAACGGTGCGCCCAGGTGGGGCGGCGCCGCCGGGTGGACCCTGCCGCTGGGGCCCTCTTGCTCTTCCCTCCCTCCTCGCGGTGCTGATCGGCGCGCGCCGCGTGCCGCTGCGCGCCTCCGGCGCCTCCCGCGCGCGCCGCCCCGCGCCGGCCGGCGGGAGGCAGCCCCAGCTTGAGCAGGGACCGACCGCCCCGGCATTCCTATAGGCCTACTACGAGATGTTCTCAGAACCCACAAATGTTCCAAGAACAAAAACACTGTTCTTAGCACAGAGAATGAACGCGATGTGCGAATAAACCAAGACAGCCCCAACCAGAAATGTTCTGAGCACACCTCGTGGAAGCCACAGAAAGGTTCCTAGACCATCGCTTGCTAGGGCCACAGGCGAGCCAGGACGCTTCGCCGCTGCTTGACCAGCCGCCCACGCCCGCGCGCGGCGAGGCGCCCCAGGACGACACGGGGGCGCACGTGTTAAGGCCCAGTAAAGCGACCGGCGTGCTGACCCCCCCCCCTTCGCGAAAGGAGGTGCGTCGCGCATTCGTCGCCCGTGCGCCGCCCATGCGTCGGCCGCCGAAAAGGCCAGCCGCCCTCTCGAACGTGCACGTCGCCCTCGCGCGGGGGATATTTGGCGAGCGCGCCGTGCGCCGCGCACGGCGCGGCCCGCGCCCGAGGCGAGGGGCCCGCCCGCCCGCCCGCCCGCCCGCGGAGCGCTCGGGGGCGCGGGGCTCGGGGCGCGCCGCCGCCCGCTCTCCCCGAATCAAGGGGCCCAAGGACACACCAAGAAATACACTCAAATAATAAGATCCCCCCTATTCTCCCCTATTCTGCGGGCTGTTGCCCTCCTCCCCACCTCCCACGGTTTCCCAACATTTTCGGGGGAATCGACGCTTCGTGGTGTCTGTGTGCTTCTCTTCCTCCTGACCTCAGGGCTCTCGCCCGACGGGCAGGGGCGCCCTGAGCACCCGTTCTCCAGAATTTTTTCCGGCGCGGGGGCACGTCAGCAATGAAGCTGCCTTTTGCGAAAGTGCGTGTTTAGGGGGCAAACAAACCTACCTCGCTTCCAAGAGATACCAAGCGATGCCAAACTACGGCCTGTACTGGTCAGGCCGCTAGACGAGGAGGCGCGTGGTATGACTTGGATTTGCCTGGAAGCGAAAGCGGGGTAGGTAGTTCACGCTCTGAGTGTTTCGACCTCCAGCCTGGGCCCCGAAAGCCGCGCCCGCGCCGCCCGCCTCCTCGGCCGTCCGCAGGCGGGCCCCCCAAGCGGGGCGACCGCTGCGCGGAGGGCGGGAGGGGTCGCCCTCGCCCACCGAGGCGAAGGGGGGCGGCCGGCGAGGAGGACGGCGGCGGCTCACCCAACTCGGGCCCCCCAAGCGGGGCGACCGCTGCGCGGAGGACGGAAGGGGTCGCCCTCGCCCGCCGAGGCGACGGGCCGGCCGGCGAGGAGGATGGCGGCGGCTCCCGCAAATCCTCGGCGCTGGCGCCAGCAGCAGGCGCCTCCGCCGCGGCGGCAGGGCCAGGGGCCTCGCCGCTCGCACCAGAGGCAGCCGGCTCCCGCTGCCTCTGGTGCGAGCGGCGGCCAGCAGCAGGTAGCGCAGCCGCGCCGCCGCCGCGGCGGCGCGTCAGCCCAGGAGTCGTCGAAGCCGCCGTCGTCCGCCGCCTCGATGCCGTCGAGCGCCATCGGCGCGACCTCCCCAAGCTCAGCGTCCTCCGCCTCCTCCCCGCGCTCCAGCCTCGACGACCAGCGACCCGCGCGCGTCGGCTGCGGCGCCGCTCGCGCTTCGCCTCCGACGCCGCCCCGCGACCTTGCCGGCCGTCGGCGCCGTGCTCTTCAGCCCCAGTAGCAGCAGCCCCAACGGGCAGCGGGCGCGCAACGGCCGCGGCCGCTGCGGCGACGGCCGCCCACATGACTGCACCGAGGGAACACCGAGGCGCACCGGCGCCGTGCGCCGCCCGCACGGCCGCATACACCAGGACGGCGACATCGGCGGCGATGATGGCTCCTCTAGGCGCCGCCGTCGTTGGACCTGGCCCCACGATGGCACCCCCGACGACGACGACTGTCGTGCAATCGCTTGAGCCAAAATGCTACTGGGGCGTTCGGTGGAACCCCCTATGGGGCTGCAAACCGTATGAGCGTGCGCCAAAAAGTGGCAGCGCCGCCATGCGGACCGTGCAACAGGTGTTTTCGGCTGATCTCCTTATGGGGCCATCAACCGTGTGAAGGGTGCGCCAAAAGGGGCGGCGCCACCATGTGGACCCTGCAAGTGAGGCCTTCCGTGCGCCGCCGTGTGGACCCTGCCACTGGGGCCTTCGGTGGAGCATACCGATGGGCCCACGAATCGTGTGAGGGGTGCGGCGGCGCCGCCATGTGGACCCTGCTACTGGGGCCTTCGGTGGACCTCCCAACGGGGCCACGAACCGTGTGAAGGGTGCGCCAAAATGTGGCGGTGCCGCCATGCGGACCTTGCCGCTAAGGCCTTCGTAGCAATTCCCCATGGGACCACCGTGTGAGGGGTGTGCCGAATCGGGTGCGGGTACGCATGATGGTGATGAAATGAACCCGTATGCAGGGCAGCAGCAGGGATGGGAAGAGGGAGGAGGGAGGAGGAGGAAGGAAGGCAGGGAGCTCTCTCTTCAGAACGAAGACCCACCACCACAGGATGGTTGAGAACAATCGCGAGGATAACGAAAATATGAGGAAGCCGATGGATGATGCGGGACGAGGAGATGGATACGAGACGGGAAGGCGAGCACTAATAGGAGGGGGGAAAAGGGGGAGGAACGGAGGCGTCGCAGAAGAGCTGTGCTGACATGGTAGTGGATGCCAACGTGATCCCCTACCATACCCCTTCTCTCGCGCAGCTGAAGGTCGCTGCGCCATATCCACCGTCGTGCGTCTTCTCTGAAGGTACGTAGCCACCACCCCATCGAATGTTTCACGAGGTACACTTACTGTAAACTGGGCCTTTCGCAACAATGAAAAGATGGCATTTCCAACCCAATCTCTTCAATCGTTTGTCTTTCCGCGTCCCGAAAGTCCAGCAGAAACTGGGCTCGTGAAGGCCCGCCTGACAATGATCAGCGGTTGCACCATCGAGATCTGGATGGGGTCGACGCTGTGGCCTTTGCATGATTCGAATTAACGTAATGGTTGGCGAGCGGAAAGCCCTGCCCTATGCTCAACGAGATTTCACAACCGCTGACCTGAAGTTAACATGACAAAGGCGAAGCAATTTCTGATATTCAACACCTGGTGCAAACCGCGGTAAAGACGCCGTATCGCGTATCCCTCGGTCGGCGTTCCAACATCTCGTCGGGCTACGTGTATCGCTGATGTGTAACGCGATCGCCGTAGATCTTGATGGCATGTTCCAATCGATTCCCCTTCGCCTCCAACACGAGTGAACTACCTGGTCATCTTCGGCGCATGGGTTCGAAGTAGGAGGGCTCCTTTGACTTGCGTATCAGCCATTCACCGTCGCGGTGCAATGTTTTGTTTTGTCTTGGTTTGTCTCGGAGCCGCCGTATCTGTCGAACTCCAGGGCGTCCACTATAGCCCTTGATGTATGAACTTCGTGATGATAACCTTCAGCTCGGCAGTCGCTGTCATCAATGAAGCTGGAGACTCGCGCTTTCGCTTCAGCGTCCAAGGCTGTGCCCCGGACCATCGCGAGGGCCAGCGCTTGATGCAATCATCATGAGTCTCCCTGCGCGCAGTCTGCCGCACCGTCCCAGGTCCTACTGGTTGAGCAATAACCCGCCTGGTGGGGAGTGACTTCAAGAAGTCGCGGGAAGCTGCGCGGACATCCGCTAGGCGCCCAAAGGCTCCCATATCTCCATTTCCAATGTAATATTCGAGCAAATCGCGGGACACTTTCTGTCAGCACTGCATCCTTTTTTTTAAAAGCAACAAATGCTTTAGCGAGGCGCGCATGCTCGATCTCACGGTTGGGCCCCCAAGCCGTGGGCTGGCAATGATAGCCCGCGCGCGCGCCTGCAGTACCATCATGCAAGCGCAACTTCGCCCAGGAAGACATTCGCTGAAATCGATCACATGTGAGTGCGTATAGACCGGGCTCAAATTGGTGATGGGCCAAGTTTGCTTAGCTTGAGGTAGCCAAACTGGATCAGGCTCGCTCTCTGATGCCAGATCGGCTACAACGTCCCAGTTGGTAGACAGCTCGCCATGCCCAGAGTCATCACCTTGGGCCACTTCACGCAGCCGTCCTCGATCGCCTGGAGAAGCATATGGCGAGCGGGAGAAGACGCAATTCGCCAACCCTCCATCCATCAGCTGCTGCAGTCACCGCAGGCCCCATCGCAGCAAATTGGCGCTGTAATTTCAAGCCGCAGGCCAATGATCGCCTCGATCTCGCGCGCGCGCGTTGATGCGCACTTGCCACTTGCCGAAGCGGTCGCGATAGGCATTCGAGCTCTTGTGCTCTGGCTCATTGGAGATGGTAATCCAGAACTTGTCAACATTAGCCGAAACCGGATTCCTTTGCGCGATGTTGGCATCGGCACAATGGACCTTGGCATCGCGCATTGTATGCTGATGCCTCTGCTTGGCCCAGCTGCACAAAGCTCGGCCCCCCTCAAACTTGAGTGGTTGCCTGAATCATTTCCTCCACTGATCAATCTGCATGTGCTTGCGCCCCCTGACAATCTGCTCGCGCTTGCTCTCCAACGTCGCCGCCCACTCACAGATCAGGCCCACGGCAGGAAAGTCGCTGGTAGCGCGCGAGGTGGCAGTCGTAGTGCCCGCAGAATCTGCGGTCGCACCGTGGTCCAAAAACGTAGGGCAGCCAATTTTGCCATCAGGTCGCTGATCGCAAGAGTCTGCGAGGTGTTCCTCAGTGGGGCTCCCTGCGCAGGCTGCGATGTGTTTCCCGATGCTGTGGCTACATGCGCAACGTGCGCGGCGCCCCCCAACGGTGGGACTTCCCGCGCAGTTCCCGCGGAAGCGGTCGCCCGTGAGCGCCCATTAGCCTGAGTGGAGGGCTCCGCCGCCAAGCGCCCGATGATAGCTCCCAGCTCTCTGAAGGCTCTGGCCGCGGGGCCTTCTTTCAACTTGCCTGTTTACGGCGTTGAACCGTCCCGCTTCATCGGCGAGCGCCGGCAAGGCGCTCCACCGACGATGTTGATAATCAGAACGGAACGCAACGTGCCCTAGGCGCTTCGGTAGGCCTCGCCCATCTTGCCATGCAGTGACCAAGCTGTATCAGGATGCTCCTCTCCAATGTTTTCTCAGACTCAGAATAACACTTCTCCACGCATGCTTCGTCCATCTCGCTCTCCTCTCGGGTGATCTTCTTGACCGCCTCGATCGGATTGGCTAGGGGTAGTAGTCGTGCACGCTGCCACTTGCCATTGTACATCGCTGCGTTCAGCGTGAGGTCGAGGCCCAAGTGGCCCTTGATGCCGAGGTCCCTTCGCAAGCGGAAGGAGTGGATAGCTTCTCGCGGTGGCGTTGCGGATGATGAGGCCCGGCCGACAAAAATGCTGCTCAGGAGCGCGCTCGCCCCCAATCGGGCCCAAACCATAGGCCGGCCCTGCCCCCCAATATAGCTTCCACCGTGCCGCTTCCTCGTAGAAAAAGACAATTGAGAGGGCGGGCGCATCTGCAACCGCGGCGTTCGAATCAACGCGCACGAGGACAAGTTGATCTCCAAGACACTTCGGCATCCTCGAAGGCGAGGTGGACATTCCTGCCGTTCCTCGCACGAAACAACGATCATCCCCAGACTCAATATACATGTTCATGAGGTGGGTAAGACACGCGACAAACATGACCAAATCCTCCACCATCTCGCAATCTGGTACACTTGTTTCGCTGATCCGTGCTTGCGTCCTGTTTCCAGCGCCACTATGTTTCGCGCTGTAACAATCGCCGCGCCACCTTGCGCACGTCGACGCATCTTGGCACCGCGGCGCCGCTGCGGACGCACTTGGAGCCCCACATTGACACTGTACTGCGTGGCTGCGCATGCCTCTGCACGCGCCGTCTGCCGTCTGACGTCAAGCCGCATGTCCCGCAGCACAAGGGCGTCAGCGCCGACGACGTCGAGCCCGCCGAAAGCGCCCCAGCGCGCGGTGCTTTTAGATAAGTCTTTAACCAGGCAACTTCCCCCTGATGCGATAGTCGCTGCTGGCGCAGCCAATTTGCATCGAAGCCGTCTCGACGCCGTCATTCATCCTCAAAGTCCGTCGGCTCGATGGCAGGCGGCTCCTTGAGCCGGTTGGAAAGCTGCGCAACATCAGCTTCCATGTGTTGCTCAGCCTCGGATATGCTTCATATCCCTGTTGAAGAATTGAAAATAGATGGCCGAGCCCTGACCTTGAAACTTCAACTGGCCCAGGGTTGCAATATTCAGATTCGCAACCGCCGCGCTAATTATCTGTGCCAGAAAAACCTGAAGCCCTGGAGTGAGCCCAGATATCCCAGGAGCCGAGCTGCCACTGCCACTGCTGTCACTGCTGTCTGCGCGCCCCAATTGCTGGTCTGGCCGTTGCAGCTGCGCCGCTGTTCCCGCTTCCCCCGCCAGCGCCGGCCGCGCGAGCTGCGCTGCTGGACTCGCTCGCGTCGCGGTGGCCGCCGCTATTGGCGCGGCTGCTTCTTGGTCTCAACGTACTTGGCGAGCATCTCTGCACATGTAGATGGCGCCGAAGTCGGCGTATCGTGATTGCCTTGATGGCGGCTTGGATGACGCTGGTGCCGAGGCCCCTCGTCGCCGGGTTCAGCTCTGCACGCGCGCGCTGCTGGCGTCGTCTGTGACCCTTTGCTTCTTCTCGTGATCCTGACAAACTTCGATTGCTACCCCAGTTGTGTCTGCCGCTGGGCACAGAGGGCAGGGCCGCCAAAGCGAGGAAGAGGTGAGATGTTATATCGCGTCGGAGCTGGCGGCGAGATTCTATATCGCGTCGGAGCTGGAGGCGCTCTTGCTTGAAACTTGCGCCGCGCCGCCTGGGCTCGCTCACTCTGCGCGCTTCAGAATAACTGCGCCCAATGTGGCCGGCGGTCAATCCCACGAGACCCATCGAGGTCCTAGGCGAGCGAGCTCCAGGGCGCCCTTGAAGGGGGTGCCGA